TATTAGATGCGAACCAAGTTATCTATGACTAGCTAAACCGCTGCCTCATTTTCAAGCAAAGTCTCGGCTAGTTGTAAAGACGGCGCTGCGAGCTGTAAAATGAGGTGTTGTCAAKAGCTCTACACTCACGTAACCTACAGTAGTAAGGATAGTTCAAGTCGAAAGCTAAGAATACTGGGCTAWCTCCCCTAAAGTGGCACAGCCTTAGTTGGCGGTCTAAAAACGGCTGATATCAGCACAAGGCGCCCAGGCTGAGCACTTGTGTTGCTTTCACGGCGGGGTCAATGTATTTTATATAAAAATGGCTTTAAAATCAATCTTTATTCACAAAAATCTTTATAATTATTAAAGAAAAAAAAAGAGAAAGTCTTGCGAATAAGTCTTAGAAATGAAGTAGAAGAAATTTACGGCTTCATGAGGGCTCGAACCGCGTACCACAATTGAAAAGTGATGAGCCTGCGCGCCCTGTGATATCAGTCATGACAGTTTTCAATCAAATTGTATCAGGGTATGTAATGTACAAAACGCAATACTATTTATAGGTTATAAATAGCGCAATGTACTATAGTGTACGTTTAATGTTTGCACTGTACACATCTATATTAAAGTCAACTCAAAATCYTGTRTACGTAATCATCATACGAGAAGCACGTGACGGACATGCAAAGTCATATAACTACAGTAATGGATCTAAAACTCGCAGATTTACCGGGGAAAACTTATATGATTATTTGAATACATTAAAATATGCTCCACGAACGAAAGTTATGCTGATATTTATACAAATATAACGAATGATAAATTAAGTCTAGTGATTAAGGTAGACGCTCGAGAACTTGATCTTCTAATTGAAAAATAAATTCATAAATCAACACATGACCCCTGCTCAGTAAAAACATGCATATCCGCTGACCCACATACCTGCAGGCGTATTTGTGTCGCACTATGGGAGAGCCTACGTAGCACTCAGTTGATGTAATATATTCATAGAGATATAATACAAAGCACATAATACAATAGAACGAGAAACAATGGAATACAATACATTTTATGAATACATTACATCAACTGCGTGCTACGTAAGTCCCCCCGTCGCACTATTAGCATCAGGCTAGTCCAGTCCCAGCCCCTTTTCGACCAGCTCGGTTAAGAGGGTCTCAATGGGGTGGTACGCATCACGACTCACGGCTAGAAATTTGACGATTTCACGACTCACGACAATTTTTTTCGAATCACGGTTAACTAGATTACTTTTAGAAAATTTTGAATTACGTTTTTCATTGCTTTTTCTTTTTTCGTCTGAATAGACTGCGTGACTTATTCGTACGGACATGGATTTTTCTATTTCAAATAAGCCGAAATGCGACTATTTCCACGAAAAAATGATTAATCATAAATTCATAATACACAAAAAAAA